TAATAATGATATTGTGTGAATATCAGCCGTTGTCTTAATATTCCTTTTTCGAAACTTCTATTACATCTTTGAGAAAGATCGTTTCCTGTGTGAGAAGATGTCTTCGATTATGTAGAAGCTGTCTTAATATGACTTGACTTGTGCAACTATTGACTTCTCTTTCTGTAGAAATGAGAAACCGTGTTTCCTACTTTCCTTCAGATACATGCAAATACAAGACAGTCTTCTTCAACTCTTCGATTGTCTGTTAGATATCTCCATGGAATGTGTATAAATTCTACATCCGACATTCATATCATCCAACCTACTTACTTACTACTGCAAGCAAAAACACTCCCTAATTTTAAAACCCTAATAACAAAGCCAAACCAAAACTTGATCCGATGGCAGCAAAGGGTTCGAGTTCAAACTCCAGATGGTCGCTCTCCGGCTGCACGGCTCTGGTCACCGGCGGGACTCGCGGCATCGGACAGGCGATTGTGGAAGAGCTGGCTGAATTGGGTGCGCACGTTTACACTTGCGCCAGGAGCGCCGAGGATCTGAACCAGCGCCTGCAGGAGTGGACTTCCAAGGGCTACAAAGTGGGTGGCTCCGTCTGCGATATGTCTTCCCGGGAACAGAGGGAAAAGCTCATCGAGAGCGCCTCCTCTGCTTTCAATGGCAAGCTCAACATCCTTGTAAGTGGTTGATTTTGATTTTGATTTTGATTTTGTGGATATGGCAATTGAGTGAAATGTTGGAATTGGAATTGTAGGTGAACAATGCCGGGACTAATGTGTTCAAGGCCACAGTTGATTTCACCGCTGAAGACTATGCATCAGTGATGTCTACCAACTTTGAAGCTTCCTTCCATTTGTCCCAAGTTGCTCATCCTCTTCTCAAGGCCGCTGGGAACAGCAGCATCGTCTTCATCTCCTCTGTTGCGGGTCTTACCCATGTCTTTGTCGGATCCATTTATGGAGCCAGCAAAGGTATTTAATTCATATATAGCAATTGCATTTCCAGCAAACAAATCATCTCATTTTGTAAATATATGATATGATCCTACAGCGGCCGTGAACCAACTCACAAAGAACTTAGCCTGCGAGTGGGCGAAGGACAACATTCGGGTCAATGCCATCACTCCCTCCTTCATCACTTCGCCAGCCGTCGGATCTGTAAGTCTTCTCTTTTGTGTGTATATATATCCAATGCTTAATCAAGTAAGAAAGCTTCTTCTCTAATTAATAGTAATTCAATTTCAGATGCTGGAGCATAATACAGCGCTGGCCGACAAGGTAAAAACCAAAACACCACTTGGGCGTGCCGGAGAGCCGAAAGAAGTGGCGGGCTTGGTGGCTTTCCTCTGCCTCCCGGCAGCCTCGTATATCACCGGACAGATTATATCTGTCGATGGAGGATCCACTGCCAATGGCTTCTCCTTCCCATAGACAAACAATAATTAATTAGTTACGTTTGTTTGTCCGATTATCTTTGTGGTGTATTTCTCACATTTCTTGTTGTTTTAAAAGTACTTTGTGATGCATTTTTCATATTTCTGGTCGTAAAAGCATAATGTGAGTAACTGAGTTGTGAACACGGGTTGACTATATATACATTTTGTGTGTTTAGACGATGATGAAATGCTTTAACAATATATATACATATATATTTCTTATCTTCCAGAGGCTTTTCTAAACTATTGACATTCTACCTATTTCTGAATCTTATTTCAATTTATTTATTACAAAATTTCATGGTACTTTGGTGAACTTTTTCAATCAATTTATTTTTTTATCCACAAGTAAATTATAAGAGTTATATATTTACATACACTTTGATAGGTGAAAAAATTCATAGTTAGGCAGCAAATGCTACACTAATTTCAACAGTATTATTGCATAAATTTGGCATACAAGTGTGGCAAAGAGCAGAGCACTCACACATATATGATTTCAAAGGATCCTAAGAATCAACTATGAACAACACGTGTCTAAAGGAACTCATAGTATACAAAACAATGTCTCAGGACTTTCCAATTTCAACCAAAGTCTAAGTATATGAGGTGATACACTTGATTCAAGGAGAATCCACCATAGCAAGATATATTGAAGGGTTGCTCATCCATTTCACAAGTATGCCAATCACAAACAGAGGAGTGAGTCAATCAAGAGCTCAATATTACCTGCGAGAGGAGCGAAACAAGAAAATAACCAAAAACAAATGCGTGAGTAAAAGAAAATGAGGTGAAGAAATCTCCAGTGCAAAGACCGGAGAAGGAACAATAGAGCAGATGCGAGGTTAAACGATTCAAATAATCGTGTGAGTGATGTGCTCAAGTGTGTGAACGGAAGTGTATGGAAGAGTGATGAACATATGTGAAGTAGTGCTCTATGTATGTGCAAGAATATGCGGAAGAAGATGGAAGACGGTGAAGAAGAGTGCATAGTGTGTGTGAGAGAGAGAGAGTGAATGGATGAAGATGAATCTGCTCCGTGTGCGTGTTGTGATATAGCGAAAGAACATAGATGCATATGGATGAATTTGGAAAGTCCGATGAGTGTAATTGTATGAATTTTAACACCCTCTCTCATTCGAAGGACCTTCATCAGCAACCTGATCAATTGATCACAAATATCAGGAGTTATTAGCGACATTTTCCTAGAAGTTGACTCACTAGAGTCACTCGAGTTCTGATCAGTGGTGCTATTTATCACAGCATTAGCACTAGTATTTTTTCGGAAATCATTCTGCCTTTTTTATCAAGATAGCCTATAAGTTTGAAACATTTTCAATTAGAAGTGAATCCAAGCATCAGAAGCCTTATTGTAAAAAACTTCAAGTTCTTACATGTAGTTTTATCTACAGAGTTCAAAATCCATGGCATTATTACATCTCATACATTTCTTCTGAAGTTCTGAATCACTAGGCATAGGTATCCTACCATCCACAAAGTTAAGTTTATTTTGATCAAATAAGAAGAATCTCAAGGCTTTACACCAGATAAGGTAATTGTCGCAACCAGTCAACACATACGATATAAGAGATGCATTTGATGAGTCTGAAGATTAGAACTGATACTAAAAAGACTATTCATACCAAGATTAGGACTTGAACTATCTCCCATAGCAACTCGAATATATGGGGGACGAGGGAGACAAAGATTAGTCAAATATTCACCTCCAGTGCAAAAGTCTACGGACAACATGAGGAAGATATTTACCATAATAGAATTTGTAAGAAGACAGACAGAAAAATTCCACACTTGAGTGAGCAAAGACTACACTCATTTCAACAATATTATTCCGTAAATCTGACAAACAAGTGTGACGAAGAGCAGAGTACTCAAACGTCTATAATCTCAAAGATGCAAAAGTATCGACAACATATGAATAACCTATGAGCAACACATGTTCAAAGGAACGCACAATATACAAATGATGTCTCACGGGACTTCACAATCTCAACCAAAGTCTAAGTATATGAGGTGATAAACCTGACTCAAGGAGAATCCACCGCGCTCATCCATTTCACAGGCATGCCAGCAGGGCCGTCTCTGACTTTCGAAGAGCCTGGGGCGAAATAAAAGTCAGGGACCCTTAAATATTTATATATATATAATATTTTTTACTTATAATAAAATATAAATAAAAAAATATTTTTTCTAGCATAAATTTAATTTCGAAACTCAGCATAATCTTTCACATACTTTACAAATTGGCGTAACACTCCCTTGTATTTTAACGAACGTTATATGAAACCCCCGCCATGCAAAAAAAAAAAATGTAGATGAAAAATCATCTTCTCATTGTAAAAAAATATATATATAAAAAAATGAACTTCATAGAACTTTAAAAAATAACGGGGTTATTGATAATTTTGCCTAATAATAATAATAATAATAATTGTCTAATATTTATTATCTTTTTAGTGCAAAAAAAATAATTAAAATAAAAATAAAAGACCCCTAAATATATATAAATGATCTACTCCTTTTTTTTTTACCTATAATAGAATATAAATTATTAAATAAAATAATTTTTTTTTAGAATTTTTAGATAAAATATCAATAATAGTATTAATATTAACAATTTTAAAACAAAAATTAAGGGTCCTAAATATGTATAAATAATGTTTTTTTATCTATAATTAAATAAAATAAATTTCCTAATATTTTTATATGCAAAATATCAATAATACTATTAATATTAACTTTATCTGATTCTTTTTGATACATAAAAAAATATTTCTAAATTTTGAAGGTACTCGTAGATAAAACTTAACTTAATCACCAAGTCATGCTCTTCTATTAATAAATTAATGTCAAATAACTTATATATATAATGTATATATAACATAATTAAATAATGGGTCCCAATCTAGATTAGCCCTAGACGCCACTTTCGCGCGGGCCCAGGGACGGCCCTGCCTCTTTGGACACTTCCATGACATTTCCTGGGTAAATATATTACTCCCTCCGTCCCACATACCATGTCCACGTTGCCGTTTCTGTCCGTCTCACATACCATGTTATTTTTCTTTTTTGGAAAATGATTACACACTTTAATCTCATTTTAAACTTTTAAATTTTTTAATTATTTATATTATAGAATAATTATTTTTACCAATATATTCTTTATCTATAGTGTAACAGACACAGTACGTGAGACGGAAGGAGTAATATATATATATATATATATATTAAATTAGATGTTGTCTTAATCAACTTTTACTTTTCTTGTCTAAAAGAAAGAAAAAACAAAAGATTCATCATCATGGATGGAGGACCAAATACAATGTTTTATTATCCAGACGCTGTCTTAATATGACTGCCTGCCGTCTCAGTTTATTATTTCCTCCGTCCCGCAAAGACGTGCTTATTTGACTAAGGATATAAATTTTAATAAAAGTAAGTAATAATTATTATTTTTTTTATAGTAAAAAAAATACAAAAGTATAATAATAATATTTTTTTTGATGATACTATTGTATAGACTCAAGTCTTCAGTTATGCAGTAGATGTCGATGGAATGAGTATTAATTAATCGATTAAATAAATATATATCCCCTACATAGGACATACATACATTCATATATAACTATCCAATCTTCTTAATTATTGTAAACAATCTCACACAAAGTCTAAGACCCTAGTAAGAAAACCCAACATTAGAGCCCGGCCCGCAAAAAATCCGATGGCCGAAAAGGGTTCGAGTTCGAGATGGTCGCTCTCCGGCTGCACGGCTCTGGTCACCGGCGGGACTCGCGGCATCGGACATGCGATTGTGGAAGAGCTGGCTGAATTGGGTGCGCACGCTTACACTTGTTTGAGGAGCGCCGACGATCTCAACCGGAGCCTACAGGAATGGACTTCCAAGGGCTATACAGTCGCGGGCTCTGTCTGCGATCTGTCTACCCCACAACAAAGGGAAAACCTCGTCAAAAGAGTATCGACTGCCTTTGATGGCAAGCTCAATATCCTTGTAAGTAAAAGTTTTAAACGAGCCGAGCGAGCTCGAATATTGGTTGTTCGAGCTCGACTTGAACTTGTTAACGGTACAGGCTCGGTTCGTTTCGTTAAGAGTTCGAGCCAAAATAGTGCCTTGAGTTCGGCTCGTTAGGCTCAAATTTAAGTTTGAGCTCGGCTCGTAAAGCTCAAGTTCGGTTTGAATTTTATACGTATTTTATATATTTTTTAATATATAAATTAAATATTTAATTTTTTATTCCTTTTTTTATAATAAAATATTCAAATTTTAATAATAAATATAAATTTTGATATAAAAAATTATATATATTATATTAATATATAAATAATATAAATATATTATTACGGACGAACTCAATTGAGCTACTCGCGAGCCGAGCCGGGCTCGTTTGTAATAAAATAATTTTCGAGTTCGAGCTCGGTTTGTTCATCTCTACAAACGAACCGAGTCGAGCTGTTAACGAACCGAGTCAAGCTTGGCTCTAAGTAAAACTAGTCAATACTCAGCTCATTTTATTTGAAATATCTTTGTTTGGGAGTTTGAATTTTAAGTTGGAATTTGAACAGTAAATAATTCCTCTAAGAATAGTGGTACGTTGTTATATAAATAGATTTTGACGTAGTATTTTGAATATAGTATAATATAAAAAAATAAAAAATAAATATATTATTTGATATTTTTTAAAAAAAAAAATTGGATGAACAGATAAATTTGGCGAGAATTCTCCAAACAAACACACCCTGTCATCGATTAAAGTTTGGCTGATAATCCTATACCCTTCGTCGGCCTGGTGTACGGACAAAGCCCCATCAGCCCCACGCACACAATTGTGTATATGTGTATGTATGTAGGCACTTCTCTATACCTTAACCCTAAACCCAAATTTTAGGATGTACTGTTATAAAAAATATTCTCTTCCTACCGCATTAATATATATTTTTTTTATTTTTATTTATCTCACGTTAATATGTATATTATTTTAGTAATTATGGATTCTACTTTATAATTGGATTATTATTTTCGTACAAAAAAAGTAATGGTTAAATTGTCTTTATATTATCTTTAATTATCAACATAATTAAAAATATTATTATTTTTAAAATCTTACACCAAAAAGTAAACATACACCTTAACACAGGACAGATGGAGTAGTTTTTTTAAAATATATATATATTTTCGAATATAATAAAATTTAAATTATGTTGATTTATTTTTTAAAAAAAAATATTATAATTTATTTTAAAATTTTATAAAAATTATATTTAAAAATTTTAAATGATTTGGTATAGCTAAATATGTATATATATTTTATTAAATCCTAAATATGCTAAAAATAAAATTTATAAATTTGGTCATTATATAATAACAATATACATTCATAATACTCCCTCCGTCCCATAACAAAGTATCTATTTTTCCATTTTAGTTCGTCTCATAACAAAGTATTCATTTCCTTTTTTTTTTTTTTTTTAAGTAACTGTACTATATCTACGTAACATTACAAATACCCTTACAACTTACAATATATTACGCAAATGTCATTACCTTTGTATAACACATACTAATAAGATTATTTTAGTCATTTCAGCTTTATTCCTACTATATCCCAATATAATACTAATATACCTAAAACTACGACGTAAAAAGTAATTGGATACTTATTAATGGAAAGGAGGGAGTATAATAAAAGACATAAATACATTAATATTACCTTATTTTCCTTTAATATATAAATAAAATAAATTTTCAAAACTAAAAAAATATAACAAAGAAAAAAAAAATTACATAAAAATTAAAATTGCTCTGTTGGCGTCACAACTCTTGGTTGTAGGGTGTTTTTTTTGTTATTATTATTATAGATAATATAGTCATTTTAATATTAAAAGTATTTTTATTTTATTTTTTTAAAGCATTCTGTGAGCTGCTTTTGAAAGAAAGGGCCTCTGAGTTTTAAAATTATTTTAAAATTGGCGTCATATTTCATAAACTCTATCTTTTAATTCTTTGGTCGTTCTTATTTTATGGTATTTATTTAATGGTGTTTAATTTTCACGTGCTCAAATTACGAATGAATTTTAAATTTTTATTTTTAAATCCTTCAAATTACAAATATACTCATTATTGTTATATTTAGTCTCAGGAACAATAAATATACTAGAAAATAGTTGTTTTCTTAATTCTAATATATAAGATAAATGAATATACTTGTAATTCAACGGGTTTACAAATGAAGATTCTAAATTTATTCATAGTTTAGGCACATGTAGGTCAAACATAGAGTTTATAAAACTATGAGAGAATTTAGTGCAATTTTTTAAAATTACGTGGATTTGACACAATTTCGTAAAACTAAATTTGAGTTTTGTACAATTTGGACTTATGTAATTCAAACAGATAAAGTATTTTTTAAAATTCAGAAAGCAAAAATCCATTTAAAAGCAAGTTCATACAGGGTCTGAATGAAATATTGTTTGTTTGTAATTATATTCATAGGTAAACAATGCTGGGATCAATGTGTTCAAGGCAACAGTTGATTTTACTGCTGAAGACTATTCGTCAGTGATGTCTACAAACTTAGAAGCCTCCTTCCATTTATCCCAACTTGCCCATCCTCTTGTCGAAGCTGCTGGGAACAGCAGCATCGTCTCCATCTCCTCTATTGCTGGTCTTACCCATGTGTTTGTCGGATCTATTTATGGAGCCAGCAAAGGTAACTAATTCATCTATGGTGTTTATATATAGAAATTGCATTTCCAGCAAACAAATCATCTCATTTTGTAAATATATGATATCATCCTACAGCAGCCGTGAACCAACTGACAAAGAACTTAGCGTGCGAGTGGGCAAAAGACAACATTCGGGTGAACTCTGTCACTCCCGGGTTCATCGATACACCTGCTGTGGCATCTGTAAGTCAGTTCTCTTATTGTTTTATAAGCATAACTGTAATTTTGATAAGATATATAATCATCTCTATTGGTACATAGCTTCACAATTAAGAAGAGTTTCTTTTGCTTCATTTCCATCGTCCTCACCTCTAGCTAGCTAGCACACTAAGCATCGAAGGCTTCTTCTTCGACAACAAGGCTACCCATGCACTATATATATAGTTTTAGGCTGAAGATTTTACAATCAAGTGCATGCTAGGTGAACTCTTCTTCCTTGCATGCCTACCCTCTAATTGTTGGATTAAATATAAACTATTTAGGTTTTGATTCAACAATCTCTTACATCGGTAATATGTATACCGTATAACCTTATGAGCTCGTCAATCATATTAATTTCATATCAAAACAGCTATTACTGCATCAACCACAATTTCGTCTATCAATGGTCACAATATTAATACAACTTAACAATTTGATCTCATGTACAACATAAAAGTTTCATGTAATATGATTTTAACATGCCTATTTTCAACTGATTCATTTTTAACTTTAATTCAAAATAAGATAATATTGAATAATGAACACTGGAATAGAGCAATATAAAATAAAATAACTTCAATTGTATCTGAACATTACTAATTATTTCTCACTAAATCAAAATATCAAAATGTGGTTCCACTTTACAAGCAATATGCTCATGATAGATCTTAGGTAGCAACCATTTAATAGTTAAGTGGATCTGCAATCATAAAAGTTGTACTAATACCTTCAATACGACTATCCTCAACATATAAAGTATTAGTTCCAACCAATTTCGAATTCAGAAAGAGAGAAAATTTTATTTTTGAATGAACAATGATAGATAAATTTGTCCAAATAGAAATTGAAATCAAATTCCGTCTAAAAGGTAATACCAAATAAAAAGGTCTTATCCAAATTCAAATAGCAACTAATACTTAATAATAATCTAAGTAATTTTTCGAGACCTTATTGAAAGAACTCTAAAGTTAAGTGTTAAGTGTGTTTGCCTAAAGTAATTTGAGGATGGGTGACACCCTAGGAAGTCTCTCAAGGTTCACGTGAGTGAGAACAAAAATATGCTGAAAGGACTCGTATTGACCTGTGGGGTCAGTCTACGATACCGACACACCTGGCTTTGCATGGCTTGTGGGCTGAGATGTTACAGTTGGTATCAGAGCCAACCTGCGACAGCCCACAGTTATTGACGGGCCTAGCAGTTGAGGGATCCTTGGGATACAACAGAGGTATTGCATTTTAAAATTGAAGATGATGTAATACCCCCGAAGTTGGGCCGGTATTAGGTCAATTCTCATATATGGATGAGCCGGTGTTAAGTCATCTGAAATTGAATAGAGGTTAAGTAGATTGAATAAACTACTCATGTCAAGAATGTATACATTCCTTTCCGGAAACTTTACTAAAAGAACTTACAACATCAATATATACAATTTCATATTGGAATTAAAAATAATTTTATAATTTTAAAAAAAAATAATAATTTGGGTATCCTCAGACCCCACTTACCTCTTGGGGGCCCTTGAACTGATCGAGAAACCTAACTTGCCATTCTCGAAAATGTTTGTAGGAAGGAGGTAATGAGATAATCAGCAACACGGCTTTATCTTCATCATCAATTGTAACATCCAAATTTTCCAAATCCATGAGGATCGTATTAAATTCATCTAGATGAGATTGGATCGGAGTACTTTCGGGCATTCTAATTGTATTAAGGCATTCCTTCAAACGAAGTTTGTTGGCAAGAGACTTCGTCATATACTGCATCTTCAGCCTCAACCATAGCCCTCGTGTGGTGGTCTCGTGAGCAACTTCACGTAGGTCTTCTTTCGATAACATAAGTTGTATTTCAGTCTGTCTTCTCATCCAATTCGTCCAAGCAGCGTCATTCAGCCATACACTCTCATGTCCATCCAATGCCTTCTTCAATCCATTCTAAAATAAAATTGCCTGCATCTAAATTTTTCAAATAGCAAACGAAATCTTTCTATCGAACTTCTAGATTTCTATTTTGCAATCAACATCTTCAATTGTTGAACGCTCTGATACCACTTATTAGGAATTTATGCACCTAAAGGTGCGATGAAATTTCAGAAGTGGATCAAAACACAATTGAAGCACAAACAAAATATTGCAAAAAACGAAAAGAACACAAGATTTGCGTGGAAAACCCAAAACGAAAAAAAAAAAAAAAAAAAAAAAAAAAAAAAAAACATACGATGAGGAATCCACCAGATGAATTGAATGTTTTCAATGTTACGAATCGAATGATTAAATTCACTCTAACACCAAAAATGTCCCCCATCAATATCTATGCAAAATGAGGGGTTTTGACCTTCAAACAAGGTATATCAAATTGATAGCAATCACCAATATATGAAATGATGGAGATATGAAATTTTGGAAAATCACTCATTGATTACGCCCTTAACTCTGCAAATTTGATGTCAAGTCAACCTTGCCATCTTGGTCACGCCCGTAACTAAAGCCTCCGAAATCTTCTGATATGACAAGATATATAAAATCAATTTCAGAACAGAAAAGTCCGCTTAGTCATGCTCATGGCTAAGGTCGTCGGAAACTACCGAAGATTTTGCCTTGAAGAGAATTTAAGATACAATCCCAACAAAAGCTAAAGCTCTTTATAAAAATATATATATATATATTGTACCCCTACTATTTGGAGAATAGAGAGTGTCTTGTTTATAGGATTTTATAATTCTGTTAGGCACGATTTCTTTGTGTAAGGCTCGTCTATATAAAAATAATGAGATGCAAGCAACAAATAACGACATAGTCTTTACATCTACAGCTCTAATAAATCCTGACAAAAAACCACATGCTACATTTCAGTTTTGTATGCGACCTTATTTTTCCATCTTATCCAACGCATATTAATTAACTTAGTTACAAAATTTAATTATTTAATTCGATCCCAGATGCTGGGGAATACTGAAGAGCTCTCGAGTAAGGTAAAATCCAAAACTCCACTTGGGCGCCGTGGAGGGCCACAAGAAGTCGCACCCTTGGTTGCTTTCCTTTGCCTTCCCGCGGCATCTTACATCACAGGTCAAGTTATATCTGTTGATGGAGGAATGACCGTGAATGGTTTCTCGTTCCCTTGAAAATAATTAATTACTCCTACATTTTTGTCTTGAAAGTCTTTTGTAATGTATCTCTCATCATAGTACTAGAGTTGCCAACACAGTCGACTATATACATCTCGTGTAATGAAAAGATAATGAAATTCTTTACGAGTGTGTGTGTACGGACTATTATAATTTGTGTTTATGTACCTAACATTTAAAGAAAAAGTCACCACAGCCATACATATATGAACACACTTCCCTTTTTCAATTTAGATATAGATTTCAGCCACTCAAAAAGCACACAAAAATCACATTTATTTGGAAGACACTTGTATCATCTATTTACATCCAAATTCTGTTTCATTAACATGCAGCAAAGCACACTCTATCTATGGCCAAAAATTAAAATTACCTTGTCCTTCACCAATTTCAATATACAGACCGATCATCGATCATCCAACCAGGAATCTATCTGTCAATAACCGTCTTTGGATTTCTGGATGATAGACACAACCCTGTCCTCAAGCTTGTGAATTATCTGCATTATGACAATTATTTTGAGGGAGGCATAACAGGTGTATGATGAGGAGGAATACATTCGACACGCCAAGAAAACATACCGAACCCGACGAGCTTGCCCAATTCAATACAAGAGCGGCGGCTTCTTTTAAATGTTTGCGACGTGCATCATCATAACTTAGAAAGTATTCTGAGTTCTCTGTTGCCTCTGCAACCCACAAGCCATTTGCTTCATCTCTCCGTCGCTTGATGAGGTTACAGAAACCAACCTGTGGATTGGAGTTTCTAATTTTTCATTTTTTTTTTTTTCAAAATTAAACATAAGAGACCACCTCAAAGCTACCCAAGGTCGTATACTGCTGCGTCAGTGTATTTTATAAGGTTTAATTTGAAAAGGATGACAGAGATTAATTTATAAACTGAAGTACTGCCTTCAAAATTAACATTACTTAATATTAGATGCTACTACATGTTACAGAAAGAAACAAAAACTACATTAGGGACTACAACATAAGGAAAAATCGTACACCATGGCATCTCTTGCTAATATCAAATGCATCGAAAGTACATTCGGGACCCAAACAACATAGCATTGAAGTGGTGATATATCGGTACAAGAAAAGTGTAAATGAAGTTGTAATGAAAGTTTTTTGCTGCAATCATTTGTTTTAAAATCTTTGCAATTGGTGTATGCTGAAGAATAGTAAAAACAGCACACATAAAATAACAGGAAAACTGAAAATTCTTACAACAGAGGCGGCAATGTTGGAGTTTACTGGGGCACATGTATATGAGCATGACTCAGCACAAGGCAAGCAGAAGTTAATAGCCAGTAGCGTGTCCTGAGATCTGTTCTCACATGATTCATCTGTAGATCCATCAGTTACAAACACCCACTGCTTTTGCTGATGACCATGTGTGTACACCTCCCCCACATAAACAACGAATGCGGCAATGTCAAACTCACTGTATAGACCCATGCAAATGGTGTTGACAGTCAATGATCTGGGAGTTCATAAGAAATGCCAATAATTCCACTACACCAGTCATAAGACCTACCTGGAGAGAGGAACTTTGCCCAAACTTGATAATGTTGTTGATGAACGGGGAGTGAAGAATGGCCTGAAAGAGCCACATCAGTATCCCACGTTTCAATATACTCACTAACAGATAAGCACAAGTCCTTACTCGTAATTTTCCATAGTCAGGGGAGCCAGAGGTAGCCAATTGCTCGTTGATCCCCTTGCTTGTAAGTAAAGGATTCCTGAATCAGAGCTAGATGGTAAAAGGCCTCCAACAGCATAAGCATGCCCTTCAGAAAGTTCTAGCATCTAAGGACAACAAGTCCAAGAATGAATATAAGTATAAGGAAAGGAACTAGGATGTTCGTGAACCATGGGTAGATTTACCTGCTGCTTAGTTGGATTCCAAATTGTTACCAAGCCCTTTCTTGAACCATCGTCTTTTCGATGAAATTTATGTGTCAAACCAACAACTTTAATCCGCATAAAAGGTGTCACATCTCTCTTGTTAAGCCCAGCAGCCTCAATAGCTTTCTCAATAGATTTTTGCAAGTCTGACTGCCTTATGGCCTAACCTCATTCAAAAATAAATAAACACACACACATCATAATAGATCACTTAACGTTATAGAATGTGCATCAGGAAGTGTCTTATCAGACCTCCAATTTCGCTTTGTAAGAAGCAAAAGAAGTTAGTTGCTTTGAGCTCATCCCTGCCATTAAAACCTCAGGTTCGGCAGCTGTTTCAAGTAACTTCATGATCTTTGCCCCTTCCTCACTCTCATGATCATTACCAACATCAAAGTCTGTCTCATGATGGAATGCTGATATTTCTTCAGCAATAAAACTGCGCCTGAACCCAAAAATGGGGAGAAATCTTATGGTAATCCACACAGGATAGAGATTTTGACATTTTCTTTTAGGAAAGCAAAACAGAAATTTGTGAATTTGGTGTCAGGGGGAACAGGCTTTGTTCCATCCAGAAAAATGAAACAAAAAACAGTGGGAAAATTTCTGACCATCGCAACTAAATTACTTTTGGTTGCAGGGCAACATTTTTAACTAAATCGGTCAAGTGAGTATCACCTTTGATTATATAATTGCAGTGCTTTAGCTTCCATCCTCTCAGATCTCACAATGAAGCTCGTATCACTCAACCTGGATAGTATGATATTCCTGTCAAACTCAATTTATTAGAGAATATGCTGCATGACCACTTGAGTACCTTTCCCTATAGAGTATCGGATATATCCTTGTCACTCCAACTAAAGTGCTTGGAATTGCTCCTCCAGTGCCCTTGATGCATCTGAATGCCAATGGAACACCAGCATTTTTGCCTATGCATAATTAATACCCAAACCTGAGACTTCAAAAAATTAATAACAATAATAAAAATGGAAAAATAAGTAGAGCATTGCTTACAGAATCCCAATTTTTCAGCCCAATGACATCTGTAGGTGCCATTTATGTGTAAATGCAAACAAGGTTGTTGTGACGTCTGAAATATAATGTTAACACTTCTTAAGATCCACAAGAAAGTAAGAAATTGACATATTGAGCAGAACAGTGTAAGTTTACCTCTAAGGGTGAAACAGGTCCAAGCCACGAAGAAAGTTTTGCTCCACAAATCTTCAGATGGCAACACATAGTATAAGCATCGGGAAACTTTGACAAATAGTCTCAAATGCAATGCATGTAATGTGTGATAATGAGAAAAGGTACTGTACCTTGAGCTTTTGACCCAAAAATAACTTCCCTGAAGCAAGCTGCTGAGATAGCAATTCATCCAGCTGAGCTTTCACAGAGTACCTAATAGAAACTCAATAAGAACTTGGCAGGAAACCAATGTTTTGACAAATTACATCAATGTTAGACATCTCACCACCCATCAGTTAATTCTATTTTTGAGTCTTTATCATAGCTAGTCTTTCCTAGTTGACCATATTGATGTCCAACGTTGGGGTTAGAGTTTCCACCAATAGAGGAAATGCACAAAACCATTGTTGAAGAAGGGGGTGCATCTCCATCTAAGATTTTCTTAATTGCGGATCTATGACCATGATTTACTTCTCTTTCATACCTGTGTATTATTAATAGTAAGATTCGTGAAAGGTCTAACAAAAATCAATATTTTAGGTCTTGCATACCTGTACCGCAATTCTTCAAGCACATTGTTAACTGTCAACAGTTTTCCAGCGAATTTAGCAGGATAACACCTCTCATAAGAGGCAAGTTTCCAAACAATCCACTTATAATGATTAGAAACCCACCTACAGTTGTCACCAACTAATGAAAAGGTTAGCAATAAAATATCCAAGTGCAGGTGACAAGAATGAACTGAATTGCATGGGGAGGTTATTAAGAAGGAGCCATCATTCATTTCATTGAGTAGGATGACTTATAAGCAATAAAGGGGGAGTTCAATACTCTAAAACGGATTATTGACTCATAGCAAAAGGAATTAATATATATGTACACATACATACATACTTTTGAAGAAACTCAATACTGAGAACCATGGTAACAAGAAAACTAGAATATATCCAGAGCGTTGAACACATTATAAGGAACAAAGAATTTAGCTTCCCACAGCAACGACAGAGAGCACAAAGGAAAAAATTACTCTTTGGTCATGTATTGGGGAGAAACTCCAGAGTAAGACAACATTCTGCAAAAGGTCTCAATCCCAATGGTATCAGAAGCCATTTCATTTTGGAAAATATGCCTTGCTGCAGCTAGTGGGTTCATTCTTTTAACATGCTCCGGCAAGTTCTCCAACTAATTTCAGAGTATGTAGTGCACTGTAAGTGATCATGTTTGAAAGAGGAAAGGATTAAAAGATAAATATTATGTATGTAGATATTATACCTTCTCCTGATGTGGAGACTGTGGAACAAATTCTTTGAGATATTTTCGTGAAACTTGAAGAGGGTATCTTGTGGATATCGGCTTGAAACAGACCTCTTTTGGTGCTAACCTGGACAAATCTAAAGGAAATATTTCGCTAAAAAATATAAATAATAATTTTTTCAAACATGGGAGTAGAGCTCGAAACTTGATACCTTACCATTACTGAGTGAAGAATTACTTCTTTTTAAAGGTGTGATAAATGAACTTCGGGGCTTCTTGAAGGGAGAAGCAGATGCAAACCTTTTAGGTCTTCTCTTATCATTCAAACATTGCTTATTGCCTGTGTTATCTGTGTTCATGGTATTTGTGATATCAACCAATGTCCTTTTTGAGGGAACATATTTTGGCTGAACAGTATTTCCCAAACAATCCACCTCTCCTAAGTAGTAATTCTCTTGCAGTGACTTTGTGCCAAATGCATGCTCTCTATAAGTTTCCTTAGAGGTGTTAGTAGTTGCCTCGGCATCAAACTTTGTCATCAAGTTACTCCCTGGCTGTATTTTGCGAAACTTACTTGATTGCTTTTGGTTCTTTTGATATGAATATGTTTTAAGGGGCGATATAAAATTCCTTGAAGAACTGTAGCAATTTTCTATTCCCTTCTCCAAGAATGGTGCACTAAAATCATGGTTGTTATCTGAACCACCGGGCTTTTCACCGGATATCATTGGATGAGCTGAACTTTCGTCATCTAAAAATGAATCAGTCTCAAGATTACCAAGTAAGCTCCTTGCTCGTTGCAATGCATCACTGGACACTGATATAGATCTCCCCCCAGCAGTATGAAATTTGATTGGAGACTTGGGACCAGTTTTTGAGGATCCTGTAAATCTATTTGCTTCAATTCTGCACAGATTATTACCAAAAGATGGCAAAACTTTTGAAGAACTAATATGACCAAAGCTACATGTTTCCCCCCCATTCTCTAAATGAGATGGATCTTCCCAACCAAAAAGTTCTAAGGAGGATGATTGAATTTGTGTCTGTCCAAACAAAGGTAGAGATTCTTGATCAGAGTTTACATCTATACCTAACAATGTTTTTGCTCTGCGTAAACCAGTTGAAGATATGTGGACTGTTTTCCCTGAACCTGTTTGAAACATCGAATTCGAAATGCTAACTGCACTTTCTGATGCATTTGGGATTTCAGGCCTCAGCATACTTACTGATGTAAATGATCCCATCTCAAACACTGGTTTTGAGGAATTATCTCCATTTTTTCCTTCATCCAAGTGGCCTGCAGGACATTTTTTGTTTCATAAGGAGACCCATTAGTTTGTGGTTAAAATTTTTCTTGAGAAGTATACCACCAATGCAACTCTACAGAGATCTATGTTTATAATATGACAGAGGGCACAATAAAAACTCTTAAGTAATTTGGATCAAAGTTAGCTAATTCTGCAACACAGAATTTTACTCTCAAATGACATTTACCAACACACATTTGTTAGTACTGTGGGAATTCAGTATTGATCATAACATATGAAACCAAAGATTTGATTTTCTAAGAGAGCTAAATTGTGAAACAAAGCTGTGATTGCCTAAGTGAGTTAAATTGTGAAACAAATATCTAATCTGCAAAGTGAGCTAAATTATACATAACCTAAGTTTCAAGATTCTAATTATTTTTCGTTCCAAAACAATAGCGTGGCAGCCTGGTCACTTAGACAACCTCATACGACTAGGCAGACAGCCTATGAACATTGTTCTTCATACTTAACTCCCCCACTCCCCTATTATAGGGCTTTATCAATTGGTGTTCAATGTTGTACCTATCTAATTAGGATGTCCAAAAGAAGAAGGCATTGTCTAACTCATACTCTTTACCATTTTAAAGCTATAATTTAGCCACCTGAATACTGATATCATATCATGCAATGAACATCCCAGGCCCAAATAATCGCATTACTCACAATAAGGTAAAGTGTTCCCTGTGGATGATATAAAAGTAGAAAACTAATTCATCAGATATCCATACCAGTATCAGTTGGGACTTCATCTACATCACCAAGAACTAAACGAGCCCTCTTTATTGAAGACTGCTTCACCGCTACAGATTTTCCCAATCCAGTTCGAAACAAAGGCGCGTCCTCTGTATTGCCAATATGTTCCTCCAAAATCTCGGAACAACCTACGTATTCCAAAAAAATAAAAAATAAATATTAAAAATTAAAAGAGGTTAGAACCATGGCAATTTGGCACAGGATGCTACAATCGACTGACAAGACGGACTCGGAATCTAGATATTGACATGCCTAGAAACAAGAGATCAGCCATGGACGGGAGAGGTTGGGGATCTGCATCTTGTTGAAGTGCAACATCACAGTGTTCCTCTTTTTGGAGCTCTTGATTGGAAATTTCCCACCGGAAGCTATTCCCGGCACCGGGAAATATCTGCCACGTCGACATTTACCGGCGTAGCCCTAGGGTTCTCGCCCAAGAATGTTGATTGAATTGAAGGCAAGTAGTAGTAGTTGGAAAAGTGAGAAAGCGGGAACTTTTGAAAGCAGTGGCGCGGCTGCACGCGAGACGTTTGGGCTCTCAGGTCCATGGGCCTTCCAACTTGCAACCCATGGACTTAGGATTTGTTTGAATGAAATATTCTCCATTCCCTCACTTATTTATCTATTTAGGGTTTGTTTATTTTGTGTTTTTTTTCTTTCATGGATGTATGTTTTAGGTTATTTATAAAAAATTATAACAGTTATATAAAAATAATACTTATCAAAAAAAATCTGCAAATTTAAAATAACTTGGTGAATATACCCTTCACAGATAGATAATGACCAAAATAAAAAAAAAAATAAAAAGATTTCTATATCACAATTAATTTCAAAACTCTACTTGATATACCATTACACTGTAATGGAGAAGATCGGCATTGGAGAAGTCTTCCTCCAATCGATTTTCCTCATTTGGTTATTATTTTAGCTATAATGTCTTCAGTTGACTTTAGATTAATTAACCGTTTACCACGTTGGAAAGATAACTTAAAACATATTCAATAAAATAAATTTCAGATAAATTATATACGAACTCACAAATAGTAGATGTTTAAAGTCGATGTATTAACAAAAATAAATTTAAAATATTCAACTAATAAAACACTAATGGTATATTCAACTACGAAGCGGGTATTGTAGATAGACAACACGGAACTTATGTCAATATAATACAAGTTCATCTTATAAACTAACAACAAGGTAATAATATACACAACACATGCTACTTTTAACATATAATATATATATATAGATATATAGGGATAACAATGGGTTCGGGTCAGAACCGAGACCTAACCCGGACCCGACACATTTGTTTGGGATTAGGTCCAACTATTCGGGTATCAGGTCGAGTATGAGTCGAGTTTTTAATAATTTTTAGGATCAGGTCGGATCCAAGGTTTAATAGTAAATCCTATTGACTGAACTCAATTAATTAAGATAATAAAATATTACTCCCTCCGTCCTAGCAAGGATGACCTATTTGTACATTTGTAAGTTATTAATAATAAGTTACAATATTATTCTATTATTTTTTTACATGAGTAGTGTTGTTGTATTTTAAATATTTTTTGAATTATATTTCAATAAAATATATGCAATATAAATATAATTTTGTAGATAATAAAATTTAATATAATACAAAAAAAACAAATAAAAATATTCCCTTACTTTTTGCAAAAGATTTTTTAATACTAGTATTATATTAGGTTGTAGTAAAAAAAATAAAAATACACATGTAAGTATTATATTTGTGTAATATATTGTAAGTCAAAATGATATCCATTATGTTAGGTAGATAGTACAATTACTAAATTAGGAAATAATAATCTTGTTTTGAGACGGACGAAAATGAAAAATGACAACATTTCAATAGGAGAGAGGGAGTATATTAATTTATTTATAATTAACTTAAAACTAATTTTATAAAAAAATGAGAAGTTTTAATATGGATAAAAGTATTGGCAAAATAGCAAAAAACCCCATGTGGTTTCTCAAAATTGTTGAAACCCCCCCTGATTCTAAAACTCCAAAAAAACCTATTTGTGGTTTTCAAAATGTTGCAAAAAAAATCCCCCATATGTTAGGATTTAACAGAGGTTGTCTATCACACGCCTGAAATGCGATTTTTGGTCCATAGAGTGATATATTTCTGTATAAAATTACTAAAATACCCTAATGACTTCATCTTCCTTATTCTTATTCTTCCTTCTTCTTATTCTTCCTCATTCTTCTTCTTCTTTATTTTTCTTCTTCCTTATTCTTCTTCTTTCTTATTCTTCCGTATACTTCTAGAATTTTATCTCAATTCAGTTTTTTTTTTTCATTTTAAATCTGCTAAACACAACATAAATTTTAAACTGATCCCAAATTTATCACAAGTAATCGATCGGACATGGAGATGGAGATGAGAATGCGTAAGTTATTATTTACTGTCGATTTTTTCTTCTGTTTTACCAAACCCAGAAATACTTCTTCTTCTGTTTTTACCAAACCCATAAATACTTCTTCTTCTGTTTTACCAAACCCATAAATTTAAGAATTCAATTTGACATCAAGATTTGAAATCAATCTAAGAAGAAATAAAGAATTTGCTGCTGGTTGCAACCGTATATGAAAGAATTGGGGAGAAAAAATAAAAAAGAAAAAAAATTTAGGAAAAAAAGATAGAGAAAGAAACATAAAATTGGAGAAAAAAAAAAAAAAAAAAAAAAAAAACCTCTATGTCCACCCCTTTTTCTCCTCTCTTCTTTCCCTTTTATTCTTGTTTTCTCTTTCTTTTCTTCCTTTCTTCTTCCCTGCTCCAGCCGCTTCTGTCTATCATCTTCTTTTTCTTCTTATTCTTTTCCGATTCTTCATTCTTCAAAGAAGAATTGGAGATGAAGTAGAAAAAAAAATTGGGGGAAAAAGAAGAAAAGAAAAAAGCGGGTGGAACTGCTATGGCTGAAAAAGAATTGGAGAAGGAAAACAGATATATCGAGGAAAAAGATGTGTGAAGAAGAATTTGTGGAAGAAAAGAAGATGGAAGAAAGAAGTTGGGGAGAAAAGAAAAAGAAATAACAAAAGAAGAAAGAACATAAGAGAGAAATAAATTAAAGAATATATAAATAAGGGTATAACTGTCAAATCTGATAAAATTTTACGTCCGTTAGTCAAATTTAAGGAGGGGAGAGAGTATGCAACATTTTGGAAAGTATAAGTAGGTTTTTTGGAATTTTAGAACCAAATGGGGGTTTTAAGCGAATTTGTAAAACCACAATGGTTTATTTTTGCTATTTTGCCAAAAATATTTGTTTATTGAAAAGAGATATAGAAATAAAAGGATTTTTTTAGGGGATCATATGTGTAAAAAGTTAGAATATTAATTAAATTGATTTATATTTGTTAAGTATGTTTAAGATGAATAAATTTAATTAAAAATAAGTCATCTTTTTATGACACGGACAAAAAATAAAAATTAATCATTTGTGGCGGGACGAAGGGAGTATTATTTTGTTGGTGGTGGTGGCGGTGCCATATGATTGAAGATTTAAATTTGTTATATATTTTTAAAATTTATTTTTCTAAAATAAATAGATCTTTTTTTAAGTAGGTCTGATTTAAGTTTGAGTCAAACTTTGTGTTAAAATTTTTTGAATCCAACGGGTCTGGTGGGTACATCACGAGTCGCGTCCGAGTACATTTGGGTTCGGATAGGATCTTGAATCCAGTAATATACATTTGAGTAGGATCTCGAATCCAGCTATACTTGACTCATATCATACCCAGAGGCGGAACCAGACCGGGATGAAAGGGGGGGCTAATTTTTTAAATTTCGAAGCGATCAAAATCTATTTGCTATCCAATAATTTTACAATGGAGTTATCATATTTTGAAAATATTTCAAAATATCAACTTACAGTAACAACTACATATTACAAGATAATTTTGTATTATATGAAATTGATAAATAGTAAAAAAAATTATTAAAAGAAATAGCTTTTAAAAATATCATCTCCCGTGCATTTAGTTGAGAATTTTTTGAAGAATTTTCTTTTTTTTTTTTTTAATTATTATTTCTTACTTTTTTGTTTCATATCTATTTTTATAGCATCAAAAAATTATTATGATATAAACTTTTTATTATTCAAAATTAAATTTTCACATAAATACTCTATCAATTTTTATCAATTTTTAAATTTATTTATTATTTTTTATATTATATATTATAAAATAAAAATTAAAAATTAAAAATAAAAAAGAGATGAGTCGGGATAGGGGGCCTGAGCCCCTTTGCCCCCACGTACATCCGCCTCTGATTATACCTATTGTTATTCATGTTATTACAACATATCCTATAAATATGAACAAACATCACATATTTTCAAATACTGCTAAGTTATTTGAAAATATGTGTTATTTGTTAATTATTTTTAATGTATTAATTTTCTTCAATTAACATGATAACCAATCTCGTGTTTTCTAGAACTAAAATAAAGAAAAATAAATACATAATAATAAATACATAATACATAATACATAATAATCTATTTCTGTCTAATTTAATCTATATTGGAGGCTTTAGTGGATAAAAATAAATTAATATTAATAATATAAATTATACATCAATTAATCTCACATTCCAACAAATTAATATATGAATGTGCTTGGGTTACGTTTTATAAGCGTTCGTATTTATTTTTTAAGTGAAATAATAGTTTTTTTTTTTTAAAAAAAAAAAAAACTCAATAAGAACAAAGTCTATATTTTAAAATTTTAACACCAAAAAAAAAATACACAAATTCTCAATATAAAAAAGCGTTTCGTTGGTATTTTTTTTTTTTAAATAGTGATTTAGATGGGATATTTTATGAAGTAAAATAGTATATTTGTAAAAAATTATAAAAACTTAAATAATTGAGATATTTTGATAAAGATAATCAAAACAAACATTTGTCCACAATTTTTTGTTTTGCACAATTCTCAATATATATTTTATTCTCTCACAAAAGTTAGCATTCAAAATAAATATTATTTTCTATATTATCGACTAATTTCATATACTTCATATAAAAAAAAAAAAAGAAAAGAAATTAAACCAAAACACAAACAAAGTGTCATGATAAAAGATAAGTTGCATTGTAGATAATAAAAACATGACTTTACCTTCTAGTTACACTTTTGATATAAGGTTGTAAATTGTCTTTCAGTTGGCGGCATCATAAATAAAAATTCAATTTCTTCCCCCAATTTCTTCTTATTCCATCCCCCAATTTCTTCTTATTCCATCTCCAAATTTTTGTGATTTATCATTCCATCCACGACATTTGGTATTAGATCTAGCCTAGTCATCTATAATGGCCAAAAATCAAAACCAATGCTTGGAGGCATTAGAACAACAATTCTCTGATTTTGCAGAAGAGTGGA